GTGAATTACGGAGTATATTTCTAAACCTTATCAACTTAATGATGGATAGACAAGTAAATAATGAACATAATAATTAAGTTATTTTTTTTGGAACGGACATTGATACACATTAAAACATGACGACAATAAAATAAAGATGGCAGGGAATTGAATGATCAGTGACGTGCGATTGGTTTGGGCGATCATTACCTAAAAATAAGGAAAAAATATAATAATTATTAATTGTTGACAATATATTATATATATGAAAATAGAATTCTAATTAAACATGGAAAGGAAGCTGCATGCGCGCGTGGTGGACAAAGGGTATAAACCGATGACCACACAAATTTACTCCTAAAAACAAGAAAAAACTTAAGGGGTCTTATTTGGGGAAAACTCCTATCTTTTACTCTTATTTGAAACAAATTTTACTATTTTGTTTGGTGGAGGAATGTTTTGTATGAGACAATCTTTTTGGTTTGAGTTTGGATTTTCAAAATTTGAAATAAAATTGGGAAGATTTTGAAGAGGATTTTGAATATTTGAAGAGGGATTTGTAAAATTCATTAAGGCTTAAAAATTCATTTTGGAGGCTAGAATTTTATACTCCTTTCGTCTCAAAACAAATTACACTCTCATACGATGTCAAAAATATTTCATCTTTTAAAATAATTTTATTTGCAAATTTGTATTATAAATAAAAATACAAATTATAAATTAATAAAATCTATTTACCTATATAGATTGTGTCCTATTTATTTGATCTAATCTTTAAATGCATCAGATCGAACCTAATTAGATTGAATCATACTAAAACAGATATAATTGAATCGAATCAAATTCCAATTCAATATGAAAATCTATTCACTTGTATAGGTTTTGTTCTTTTTGTCTGATCTAATCTTTAAGTGCATTAGATTATATCTAATTAGGTATAGATCGAATCAGACCAAAATAGATCCAATCGGATCGAATCAAATTCAAATCCAATAAGATGAGATCAAAACTTGAAGGAAATCTAGTCACTAATATAGGTTGTGTCTTATTTGCGAGATCTAATCTTTAAATGCATTAGATTAGATCTAATTAGATCGAATCAGACAAAAATAGATCTAACTGGGTCGAATCAAATTCAAATAGAATAAGATAAGATCAAATCTTCAAAGAAGATCTATTCACTTGTGTAGGTTGTGTCCTATTTGCCTCATATAATTTATTCACTTGTGTAGGTTGTGTCCTATTTGCCTCATATAATCTTTAAATGCATTAGATTAGATCTAATTAGATCAAATCATACCAAAATAGATCTAATTGAATCAAATCAAATTCAAATCCAATGTGATCAGATCAAAATTATTCAAAGAAAAGCTATTCAGTTGTATAGGTTGTGTCCTATTTGCCTGATCTAATTTTAAAACGCTTTGGATCGTACCTAATTAGATCAAATTGGACAAAAACAGATCTAATCAGATCAAATCAAATCCAAAACCAATAAGATCAGATCAAATCTTTAAAAAGATCTACTACATTGTAAATAAGATCAGATCAAATCGGACAAAAACAGATCTAATTAGATCAAATCAAATCAAATTCAAATTCAATGAGATCATATCAAATCTTCAAAGAAAATATAAATTTTTATATAGACCAATTCGATCAAAATAGACCAAAACAGATTTAATCGAATCCAATGAAATTCAAATCCAATAAGATCAGATCAAATCTTCAAACAGATCTATTTGTTTGTATAGGTTGTGTCCTATTTGCCTGATCTAATCTTTAAATGCATAGGATTTGATCCGATTAGATCTGTTTTGGTCTTATTCGATCTAATTAGATCAGATCTGATGCATTTAAGGATTAGATCAGGCAAATATGACACAAATTATACAAGTAAAAAGATATTTTTAAGATTTGATCTGATCTTATTGGATTTGAATTTGATTTGATCCGCTTAGATCTGTTTTGGTCTGATTCGATCTAATTATATCTTATCTGATGAATTTAAAGATTTGATCAGCCAAATTGGAACAGTGCAAGTAACTAGTTTAGTTATCAGTACTGGTATGATGTTATATGGTCAAAAATATGGATATATTGTCGAATTGGATCCATGTGAGTTAGAAATTCAATTAACGAACAAAAAAATGTATAACTAATCTATTATTTAATTATTATAGTGGTAACGGTTAGGCATTTTCACTATTTATATTTTAGAAATCCATCCTGTACTATTATGAAAACGGTTTGGTTTGATTCGGGATATAATTTGTTAGAACCATTTGAAAACTCACTTTTCGGTTCGGTACATTATATTTAAAACTCTTTTACTTTGATTTGATTTAATCTTATTTGATGAGATATGATTTGATAAGATATCATCTAAACAACATATAAACGTGTTAAACTGAGACGAAGTTATCTGATTTTGTATAATCTTATATGTCTGTGTTTTTTTGAAATACAATATTTTTGAACACATATTTTTTTGTTAAAATGAATTGAAATGTTAATATGCCTTGAATCTATATTGTGTTGACGCTACGCAGATTAGTAATCTATATTGTGTTGACCCGACGGTATGATATGTTGTTGTATTGGGCTGTAATCATTGTATTGGGCCTAGCCCGTTTTGTGTGCCTATTCCGTAATAACATGAAATCTGTTGAAACACGGGCATGTCACGTTTTTTTACTAAAGCCGTGTTTGTTTTTATGACAGGTTTTGATAATGCCAAACCGCCGTGATCAAGTCAAACTTTGAATATGCAAGGCGAAGAAGGAAGACAAGAACAAGAGCTAAAAGAAGACCAAGAACGAAGACATTAGTTTTAGTGTCATTGAGTCGGTCTTCATTGTGATCAAGACCGACCCAATCTTTACACATTGGCTCTTTAGGCTAAATTCCTTCATTGCATTTCTTAAATCATAAAAATGTTTTTTAAACATGTTTAAGTCATTAAAAACACTTGGTGTTCGCCCAAACCAAAAACCAAGCCATCTAGCGTTCGGGTTCTCAGAAACCGGCTTTCGGCTCTCGGTTATCGGCTATGGTTTTTGGCGTCCAAACCAACCAAGTGGTTTTCAACTTTTTATGATTGGTTTTCACTCTTTGGCATGTTTAAACGGTTCTCCAACAAAAACACCTTGAAAACCATCTTTCGATTTTGGTCGTTTGACAAAAATCATTCAAAACGGCATAAACTTGGCTAGCCGTGGTTTTCACTCAAATGATGTGGTTTTTAAAGTGTCTTACTTTATTTCTTAGCCAAATACATCAAATAAGTGTTTTAAGCACTTGGTTTTTATTTTGGAGAACTTTGAATTTTCCGGTCAGGTTTTGCATCAGCTGGCTAGGCCGTGGTTAAGGCAAAAACCATGGGTTCTTAACTAACCACCCACCCAGCGATGGGAAGATCTTCCCATCGATGGGTAAGCGGCCCCTCAGCCAAACCAGTTTCCAGAACCATGCCAAACAGCGATGGGGAGTTTTACCCATCGCTATTAAAGCCTTGGTGCAATATTAACACAAGGCAGAACGACCTTGCCCAGCGATGGGAAACCTATCCCATCGATAGGAAACCAGCGATGGTAAGGGTATACCATCGATGGGAAGGCATGACCATTGGTGGTCATTAAAGGTTGATTCATTCCTTGTTTGGAAGTCAACGTCCCACCCAGCGATGGGAAGCTTGTACCCATCGATGGGTAGGTGACCGTTGACTTCAAAACTGAAGGAAAATTGGCTTACCAGCGATGGTTGAGTCTAAACATCGATGGGAAGCCAATATTCTGCAGATCTCAAATCTTTTCAATCCCATAAATCAAGCCAATCACCCCTTTAATGCATTGGTCCGTTGGAGCCTTCTTTGGCACTATAAAAAGGGGTGTTTGGGTCTACTTTTCTCATCAATTCACTTCACATTACTCCTATTATCATTGCATTCAAACAACATTATTTTCCATAGCTTTCTAGAGCCAATTTGTGTGAAGTTTGAGTTGTTCTTGAGCGTACTTAGTTTACTCATCATCTACTCTTAAAGAGAGTCTTGTTCTTGAGTGTTTAAGTGTTGTATACACGTTAAGGGAAGCTTGTTTCCCTTGGTTGTACGAAGGAAAGGTATTTTCCTTCGGGTTGAAGTCTTGGAGTGCGGTATCTCCGAGCAAGTGTTGTTGAGGCTCGTGGGACTTGAGTTCTCAGGTTGTAACGGTTTGTTAAGCACCCGTAAGCTTAACGGAAGTAGTGTAGCTCGAGAGAGTCTCTCGGGAGACTGGATTAGCCACACGTTGTGGTGAACCAGTATAAATCTTGGTGTGCTCCCTTTACGCTTTCTACGCTCTTTATTTTTCACGTTCTTAATTTTTTTTATTCCTGCGATTTCTATGATCAAACGCTATTCACCCCCCCCTCTAGCGTTGGTCATTTATTCTAACAATTGGTATCAGAGCCTAACTCGCGTCCAAACTTAACCGTTTGAGAGTAAAGCGATCATGGGTTCTTCTTCTAGAAATTTGTATGCAGGAATAGGTGAAGGGCAATCAACCACACGGCCACCTCTTTTTGATGGAACCAATTATACATA